ATAACGGTGACAACGTACAGCACGCACAATGGGCAACTCTTTTCTCCCCGCTGTTCACCGTCTCTTCCTACGCATTACACACACGATCCACTCTATACAAACGTTTTTCTAATGGCTTTGTTAAATTAACGTAAACACCGCCTATATCTTGGAAGTAGGCGTTTTCATATGGTCAATTCTGAAACGTTAATAGTGCATGGAACTTTGGTTGCCTATCCTTGACGCCGTCAATCTGTTCGGTAGATACAATCATTACGAGTACAATTTATCGAACTGGTCCTTCAAATCATCGAATACCCTAAATCAGTTAAAGACATCATCCAAATCTGCACTTGTGCAGCTCAGGGGTGTTCCACGTTTACCCATATTATATTACCACACATATATTATACTGATATTTTTTTTTTTTTTTTTTTTTTATTAAACAACTATCCGCGGCGTCTATGGCCATTGGATGTAACAGTACATTATTGTCTTTAAGTATATTTACATATTACATTAATATTTGAAAGGTATACAAAGTAATTTAGTATTTAAAACAAGACAAGATAGTAATAATTATGAGACAGGTTAAGTGATGGTATTATTTAGAATTTACAGTTTGTTTATAAGATTCGTTTGCATGAGAAATTGTATGATCTTGTGTATATTGTTGGGGTCCGGATTGAGTGCTTCGGCGAGGTGGTTGGATATTTGGTATAGCCTTCTTTCTTTGTCGTAAGCTTTGCATTCGGTTAAGATGTGTTTCACAGTAAGGGGTGTTCCGCAGCATGTGCAAACTGGGGGGTCTTCCTTCTTCATTAAGTGGGAGTGTGTAAGGTGGGTGTGACCAATTCTGAGACGGTTTATAGAGGTCTCAAGTTTTCTTGAGATGTTATCTGGAGGTGGATACGGTATGATGGTTCTCTTGATTTCGTTAAGTTTGGTTGACATTTCATTCCATTCCTTTTGACAGTGAAGTAGTGTATCCTTTTCGATGACCCTCTTTATGTCGTTGAGGGAGAAAAAGGGTAAGGAGAGAGAATTTGGGGGTGTGTGAGCGAGTTTGGCGGCTGTATCTGCTAGTTCGTTGCCGTCTATATTACAGTGACCAGGGATCCAAGAATATGTGATGTTTTTGTCCTGTTGTTTTGCTATGTAGTGGGTGTTTTGGATTTTTCTGACGATATCAGACGGGGAATACAGATTTTGGAGGCTAGTAAGAGCGGAGAGGGAGTCACTAAATATTGTAATATTGTTGTCATTTATTTCAGAGATGATGAACTCGATAGCTTTGAGGATCGCCAGGGTTTCTGCTGTATATATCGAACATTTGTCTGAAAGTTTCCATTGTATTGTAGTTTCATCGCATATGATAGCCATCCCGACTCGCCCTTCGATGATGGAGGCATCTTTATATATGTGGGTTTGTGGGTAGGTGTGTGAACAGAAGTCTCTGAATGCATTCTTGAAAATGTGAGGACAGGTTGAGTTTTTGGGGAATTGATGTAAGTCGATGTTGATATTCATGCTGAACTGCCATGGGGGACATAGGGGTTTTTCATGTGGGATTATAATAATCGAGGTCGTATTTTATGAATGAGTGATTGAATGTATGTTTAGGGTGATGAATATGATTTTGGGGGGATCTTGAAATTCTTGCTGCTAATTTGTGGGTTTGTTCTCTCCACCGTACTTCTAAGGAGGGGATTCCAGCAATATTTAAGATGCTTTTTATGGGGCTTGAGCGGAAGGCACCGATGGAAAGTCGGATTCCCGAGTTGTGGATAGTCTGCAGTATTTTAAGTTTAGTGAGTTTCGCAGATGAGAAGATTGGAGCGCCGTAATCCAGTTTCGATAGTATGAATGCTTTGTGTATCTTAAGAAGGGTTTGAGATTTGGCTCCCCATGAGGTATGACCTAGGGTTTTTATGATGTTGAGTCTAGGTGTGGTAGTGTTCTTTAGGTTGAAAATATGAGGGGTCCATGAAGCTTTATGGTCAAAAATGATGCCCAGTATTTTAGCATTGGGTTGGTTTTCTACGACTTGGTCTCCGAAGTTGATGTGTATTTTCTTCTTATTCCTCTTGTGGCTGAAAACTATAAGGTTGGTTTTTTCCAGAGAAAAACGGAAGCCGGAAGTTTTTGACCAGGACGTTAGTTTGTTCGTGGAGTCTTGAAGTATCGATTGAATAGAATTAACGTTAGTACTGCGGCAGAGAATAGTGAAGTCGTCTGCGAATAGTAGAGGTATGTTTGGGCGTGAAATTCCTTCAGATATATCATTGATAGCGATCAGGAAAAGAGTTACAGAGATAGTGGACCCCTGTGGGACCCCACTTTCTTGGAGAAAGGTGTCTGAAAGCGTGTTGGAGGTTTTTACTTGAAAGGTGCGGTGGTTGAGGAAATTTGAGATGAAATCTAGCATGTATCCTTTGGCTATGATTTTGTTGAGTTTATTTAATATTCTGGGTCTCCATGCCGTGTCATATGCTTTGACTATATCAAAGCTGATCATTCCCAAGTTTTGTTTATTGTTTAAGGAAGAATGAAGTTCATTTTTAATGGTTAGAAGGTTGTTCATTGTGCTTCTGTTACATCGGAATCCATTTTGTTCGGGGGTGAGAAAGTTGAGGTTTTCAATAAACCATATGAGTCGACGGTTGACTATTTTTTCGAGTAATTTACATAAGGTGTTAAGTAGGCAAATGGGGCGGTAGCTTTCTGCTAAGAATTTATATTTGTTAGGCTTGAGTATGGGGATAACATAACCGTGTTTCCATGATTCAGGGAAGGCGTTGCTATCCCAAATTAAGTTGTAGATGGCTAAGAGGTGGTTTAAGGTGTTTTTTGGGAAGTTTTTGATGAAGGACTAGGGGATCCCATCGGGGAGAGGAGATTTACTTTTACAATTGTGAAGGGCGTCTTCAAGTTCCTCGATCTTCAGTGGAGAGTTGAGTAGGGATTGCTGTGAGTCGAGAGGATCTACTGTGTTGACTGGGTCGGCATAGAATTGCGAGAAGTTTAAGAAATCTTGGTCATAGTTAGCATTGCAAGAGTTTTCATGGAATATACGTCCCAGAGAATTGGCTACGTCATAAGGTGATGTGGAGAGTTTTGAGTCAATGAGTAGATTTATGACGTTAGATCTATTGGTCCCTTTTATGGATTTAATTTTTTTCCAAACAATGGAAGAGTCCGTTTGGTTATGTATGCTGGACACGAAGTTTTTCCAACTTGAAGCCTTGCTGTTTTTTACGAGGAATCTTGTGCGTGCTTTGCATCTTTTGAGGGCGATAAAATCTTCTTGGGTCTTGGAGGTTTGAAATGTTTTTAGTGCTTTGTTTTTGACTTGGATGGATTTTTTGATGTCATCGTTCCACCATGGTACTCTGGGTCTATGTGTAGTCTTATTTGAAGATTCGCCTATGGACATTTTAGCTGTATCTTGAATAAGGGCGGTAAAGTTTGCTACATCAGTGGTGATGCTCGTTCTGGAAGGAGGCGGTAAAGAGGGGGTATTTGCCATCAAGGTAGATGAGAATAGATTCCAGTTAGCGTTTTTTATTCTCCACATAGGAGGGTAATTAAGGCGGGAGTTGTCCAACGGTGGGGTGATCGATATTTCTATAGGGATATGATCGCTGCTATATACAGGGTGATTTTTTTATCGTAGAACACTCATTATTTCAAAAAGTATTAATGTTTAAGAAAATATTTTTTTACATAGTTTCAAGTTGTTAAAAAACAATATTTTTATTAAAAAATTATATTTTTAAATATTTTTTATCCTTTTAATTTTTTAAGTTTTTTACTTTTTTGAATGACAACATCTAATTTTAATTTGATATTCAAAAACAGAATATTTTTCTGAGTATTTCGATACATCAAAATTGAATTTAGGGCAATTAGTTTATGAGTTATAAGTATTTAAAGTTTAGATGAGCGGAGTAGAGTGGTACGGGGTTACCCCGCGAAATGTTTGTCATCTACTCCGCTCATCTAAACTTTAAATACTTATAACTCATAAACTACTTGCCCTAAATTCAATTTTTATGTATTAAAATAATCAGAAAAATATTCTGTTTTTGAATATCAAATTAAAATTAGATGTTGTTATTCAAAAAAGTAAAAAACTTAAAAAATTAAAAGGATAAAAAATATTTAAAAATATAATTTTTTAATAAAAATATTGTTTTTTAACAACTTGAAACTATGTAAAAAAATATTTTCTTAAACATTAATACTTTTTGAAATAATGAGTGTTCTTCGATAAAAAAAATCACGCTGTATATCAGGGAGAGTGTTCCATTCTAGTTTGTGGGACAGGGACGCGTTGGTGATGGATAGATCTATAGCTGACGAATGTCCGTTAGAAGGATTTATTCTGGTGGGTTGTCCATTGTTTAATATAATAAGACTGTCGTTTGAGAGTAGCTCTTCGATTATTCTACCTCTGTAGTCGGTTTTGTATGAACCCCAAGTTTCGCTGTGGCTATTGAAGTCGCCCACAATTACAAACGTGTTGGGAAGTTGTTGGATGATATGCTCTATATCGTAGAGTGTAAAATCTTTTTGGTTGGGTATATAAATGTTACACAGAGTTAAGGTTATGCTGGGGAAGTGTGATTGAGAGTGCTATGGCTTCTAAATCAGTGTGGAGTGTAATTTCTTGGGTGGGGAAATTGTGGTTGACCAGAATAGCGACTCCTCCGCTCGATCTATTGCATACATTTCTGTTTTTTTTGGAAAATATTGAAGTGAAGAAGAGCGGGACTGCTTTTAGTATTAAAATTGGTTTCTTGTAGACATATGATTGTGGGGTTGTGGTCTTTGATTATTAGTTGGAGTTCTTCTAATTTGCTGTAGAACCCGTTTATGTTCCATTGTATAATGTTAGCTGACATGTTAATTGTTTTTAAAGATAAGATTTTGCTCTTGTATTGATAAGTTGTGACTAGTTAACTAGGCGCGGAGTGGTGATAGTACTGAGTGTGAGCTGATTGGTGTCGTGGATGATGTTAATTGTCTTGAAGTGGTGGAAGTGACTGGAATAAAAGGTTGGCCAGTTTGGTGAGATGAGATTTGGTGGTACGTTCAGTGACTTTAGGTCGTATTGAATCGATCAAGAGCATAAGCGATGTAATATCCGAGTTGATGTCTTTACAGATATTGTGGATGTTAAGTTTTTTGTTGGTAAAGTTCTCCAGAACGTATTTGAATTGGTGTAACGAAATGGGGGATTCATTGGAGAAGATGTCCTCTGCTGGTTTGAGCCCATCGGATATTTTGTCGGCTGTCTTAGATGAGGAATTGGAACGGGATCTATCTACTTTAGCTTTTTTGGAGCTATTCCTGCTTCTGTCGGCGTTTAAGTTTGCCTTAGGGGGAGAAGTAGGTAATGTTGTAGATGAGTTTTCGGAGAAGTGTCTTTTATGTGGTTCACAAGGTGCATTGAAGTTTATCTCGGTTTTTTCGGCCTGGTTGTGGGAGGGGGACTGAGATGTATCATTGGTTTGATGGTCTTCTGAGATTCCTTCCATTGTTTGGAGGGGCATGTGTGATGTATTAGGATTTTTTTTTGGGGATGGGGAGGGTATATTTATTTCTGGAGTACTTATGCTAGTATGAGGATATAAGCTGGGTTCTTCCATAGTCGGTTCTTCCACAAGTTCAGGTTGTATGGGTGGAGTAGCGGTTTGGGGATTGACATTAATTTTCTTGCAATTGTTAGAGGTGTGGCCAGTGGATTTGCATAAAAAGCAGGTGATTCTATCGTCGGTGAAGAATATTCTAATTAGGATAACTCCTGTTTTCGACCGTCGTCAATTCGACCTTGACCGGATCGCCCTGGCCTTTAGTCTGAGTATCTGTGAATTCTAATTTGTCTGCAATTATATTTTCCAATTTATTACCTTCGTTTTCGAATATAATATCTCTAGACATTGAAATTCAATTTGTTTTCGAATAATACACACGATAACCTTTCGTGTTATCCGAATAGCCAACAAATATTCCTTTTTCACTTTTAGGGTCCCACTTTTTACGTTTTTGCTTTGGTATGTGTGTATATACGACAGTACCAAAAACTCGTAAGTGTTTAATGTCTGGCATTACCTTATAATATAACTCGTATGGTGAGTTATTTTTAATTGAACTGGTTCCTGTTCGATTAAGCGTGTAGACAGCCGTGTTTACCGCCTCCGCCCAAAGTGATACATCCAAATTTTTCGCACAAATCATTGTCCTCGCTGACTCTACTATTGTACGATTTTCCCGTTCCACTTTTCCATTTTGCTGTGGTGTGTAGGGAACTGTTAACTGATGTCGAATCCCTTGTTTTTGTAAAATACCCGTAATTTCTTTATTTACAAATTCTAATCCATTATCCGTTCGTAATATTTTGACCTTAGAACCTGTTTCTGTTTCAACACTTTTTATGAACGTCTCAAAAATATTTTTAACATCATATTTATTTTTAATAAAATATACCGTTCTATAATGCGAGTAGTCGTCTTTGAATAACAAAAAGTATTTTGAACCGCCTATAGAGCTTACCTCCATTGGTCCACATAGGTCTGCATGAATTAAATCACCGACATTGTGATACTCTGTATTACTTTTACTAAATGATTTACGACTTTGTTTACCTATTATACAACTGCTGCACATAAATTCGTCGTCCTTGGCCGAACATACTATTTCGTGTTTCGCCAAACAACTTTTTACGTACTGTAAATTCTGATGTGCCATGCGCTCGTGCCAAACAGACAACCTGTTTTCGACAGCTACAGTCGCGTACCCGTTTGTCGGTACTTCGACATTGATGTTTAACTCAAACAACCTTCCGCATCTCTTACCTGAGCATACGGGTTTCCCCTGTTTAGTTAACATACACGTCTTACTATCTGACGTCATTACTAAACCTTTATCAATCGCGGCTCAGCACGAAAATAAATTAAATTTTAGTCCTGGCACGTGCAACACGTTTGCCATGTAATTTTTATTCCAATTACCGTTTACGTATGATAATATATTAATATTACCTCTACCTGCTGCATACAGATTTGTCCCATCACCTATAGTGATTTGTTGAGTGTTGTCCAGTGATTCATAACTTGAAAACCACTCTCGATTTGCGCTCATATGATCCGAATCGCCCGAGTCTAGTACCCACGTATCTGTTGCAATATTATTTATTCTTGACTCGCTTACGAATGCGTTCAAGTTCGCACCTATAGTACCGGTTTTACCACCGTGTACACTTTGTAGAAAATTTCTACAGTCTCTTTTATAATGACCTAGTTTACCACAGTAATAACACTTAATATTACTTTTATTAGTAAATTGATTTTTACCTTTTCCATAATTGCGACTGCCGTTTCTTCCATCAGATCTGTTTTGAAATTTGGCCGGAAATGCACTCGATTTCTCTTGTTCACCAACTTCACCTTTGATCTGGATAACCCGTGATTCTTCAATCGACTAGTCAAATTATTTATATTTTTACTTCCCGTTGGGACTGAATCCCAAGCACTGTAAAAATGATTATACTCTTTTGGTAGTGTCATTAGTATTTTTGTCATAACCATGTTATACGTAACTGGTTCACCCGCTACTCTCAGTTTCCTTCCTAAATTGACCAATTTAGAAATATGCGTCGACATGTCATCTGTCGACTCCTTTGAATAACTGAAAAATTGTTGTTGAAGCAAATGTAAACTTGCCTCAGACTTCTGCTCGTAAATACTCAGCAGTTTCTCCCACATTTCCAATGCAGTCTTACAGTTAATCAAATATTGTAATGGACCATCGTCCACTGAGGTAACTATTATTTTCTGACATTTACCGTCCGCTTTTTGCCAAGCGTTTGTATGCCTTTGCCAACGTGCTTTGGCATCCTCGTCGGTCTCTGCTGCCGACTTTTTTATAGGTAGACTTGGTTTCGTCCATTCGCCTGAAACTATCTCACCTACTTCCAAGGCATTTAGAATGACCTTCATCTGGAACTTCCATAACGACCAGTTTTCTGCACATAATTTTGTTAAACAAAGTCCAAGATGTTGGAATATACGCTTTAAGAACTTTTTGAATGCATTTGGTTTACAATGTACCGAAGCGGATGCATGTGTATTCAAAGCTGATAACAACCAAATTATTCTTGCAATATTTGTTGACGATGGTTTAATCGCGGCAGATAATGAAGAGATAATAGAGAAACTTTTAACGAACTTGGAGAAAGAATTTGAGGTTAAAAAAGGAAACTTAGATTATTTCCTAGGTATGCAGGTAAATATAATGAAAAATGGCTCATTATTTGTGCATCAGACAAATTATGCATGTAGCATAATTAATAAATTTAATATGCTGGACGCCAAGGAACTTTCAATACCAATAGACAAATCACATACACTTGAACAAAAAGAAGATACGGAAATATTGAATGAAGATATTCCTTATAGGCAGGCAGTAGGTAGCTTACTGTTCTTATCACAGGTAACAAGACCAGATATAGCATATGCAGTAAACTTTGCTAGTCGTTACTTAGCAAAACCAACTAAAGCTCATTGGAACTTGGTAAAACGGATTATACGATATATCAAGTGAACATTTAATTATGGCTTGTACTTTAATAACAAAACAAAATTGTCATTAGAAATATTTAGCGATGCAGATTACGCAGGTGACATTCAGACACGACGTTCAACTTCAGGATTTCTATTCAGGTACGGGTCAAGCATAATTTCATGGACATCGCAGAGACAACATTGTGTGTCGTTATCATCGACAGAGGCTGAATATATTTCGGCCAGTGAAGCTGTCAAAGGGATCTTGTGGATTACACGGTTGATAACAAGCTTATCGACAACAGGTGACAAACAACCAGTTTTATTTATAGATAATCAGAGTGCTATTCGTTTAGTGAAAAATCCGGAGTTTCATAAGCGGACAAAACATATAGACGTACGGTACCACTTCATACGGGAGAAATACGAAGAGGGACAATTCCAACTACAGTACATTGGAACAGAGGACCAGATTGCGGACATTCTAACCAAGCCTTTGGTTAAGGAACGATTCGAGAAGTTGCGATCAGCCATAGGAGTGACTACAATTAAAGAGATTATTAATTGAGGGAGGGTGTTGAAATATACAATTAATATGTAGTATATGTAGTCAGCCTTGACACGTGTGTACAATATAGTAACTAGTTATGTACGAGCATAAGACTCACTCTCTTTGTGGATGTAACATGACCTCGGTCGTGCATATATATAGGGCCTTTGATGTATGTAATATTCACTTGCACAGGCGTCGTTGTACAGAGCGTATACGATGTGTGTGTACTGTCACAGTTTAATTGTCCAGTTGTACGTTATTATATATTATACTTATACATAATCATATTGTCGTGTTATTACTTATTATATTAATGCTAACATCATTAGTCCGTCAAGCTTCACTTTCAACATTAACGACAACGTTAACACCGCCTCCATTTTCCTTGACGTGGAAAAAGCCTTCGACCGGGTCTGGCACGTCGGTCTCCTCTACAAACTGTCCCAACTCAACATCTCGACTGAAATCGTTAAAATCATCGAATCCTTACTCACTGACCGCACTTTTGTCACAAAAATCGAAGAATCATTCTCGTCCACCAGACACATACTCGCAGGCGTCCCTCAAAGATCCTGCCTTTCACCTACTCTCTACTTGACTTACATTAACGACATACCAACAACTCCTAAAGCTCACCTCTCACTATTCGCTGACGACACTATGTTCTTTACTTTAGACAAAAACCCGAAACGTGCAGCCATACAATTACAACACCAACTCAACTAAGCTACCACATGGTTTCACCGATGGAAAATCAAAATAAACCCTACCAAAACAATAGGTATTCTTTTCGGACGTTCCAATACTACTCACATCCCAACACTACTACTCGACAACCATCCAGTGACTTGGTCCAATCATGCCAAATACCTCGGCGTTACAATAGGGCGCAAACTCACCTTCGACAAACACGTTCAAGACATCACCAAAAAAGCCACTCGCGTTCGCGGAATTCTTTACCCCATTCTCAACCGTTCTAGCACTGTCCCAAAATCTTCAAAACTCAATATTCTAGAACTCTACGTCTCTCCAATTCTTTCTTATGCTGGACCCTCTTGGGCACCTTTTATCGGTCCCTCACATTGGAGACGTATCGAATCTGTTCAGAACATCGGCATTCGCACGATAACGGGTATGCCCACTATCGTTAAAAATTCGGTCCTTCTAAAATCAGCAAATTTCAAGTCAATCAAAAATTCTATTCATAGCCAATCCAAATCGATGTTCTACAAAAACTCTTTCTCTACTCATGCCCACATCCGACTCTTATTGAAATCTCACATCCCACCAACCACAAAGTGTAGAATCAAACCCTACCCTTTAACATGGGTTGACCAACAAATTTAACACCACCTTCCTAAACATCCATCCACTAGTAGAGGCAAAAGCCTGGTATAGTTTTCACGGCTTAGCCATCCCCCCAAAGCAAAGCAAAGGAATCTAGCTAGTCCACTTCAAGCCTTCAATCTGTCAACAACTACAAGAAAAGTTCCAACAGAAAGAAGACCCGGACCAGAATACCAACCGCCGATCG